CATTTCCGGTCGGTGAATGTGCGCACCGGAGCATCAAACGAACGCTCCATCTGCTTGCAATCTCTTTAAAGTTCCCGCAAGTGAAGGCAGTGCCGTTGTCGGTTAATATTTCGGTTGGCGGGCCTCGTTCAAAGAAGATCGTCTCTAACTGGAAATGACCAACAAGTTTCCCGCAAAGGGAAAATATACGTCGATGAGTCACAGGGTTTGAAACTTCCGGGACCTGGCCTCCCTGGTTCCACCAGAAGGTGTCCTCTCCCCAGACCCGCAGGCCGAGGACTCTAGTTGCGTCTCTCAATTGTCCTGGGTCTTTAGGCCGTACAAAAAAAAAAATGATGGTGTGCTGCAGAAAGAGGCTCTCATTGATGAAAATATCATCATTATATGCTGAAATGGCACTCTTGAATGGGACGTTATTGCGTCGACAACGGATTTCATGATGAGTGACGCCACGTTTAGACCAAACCCCAATCGTATAAGGCAGAACCGCTTGACCTTGAAAATGACCGTTTGAAATGACCCTCTATTTTGAGGATACAATTATTTACTCCTGTCTGAAGTGTAAGTCTGATTGGTTCGATAAGGTCGAATAGGAAACCGATCTAGAAAATGACCTACAATTTGTTGTTAAATGGAGCAAGGAATGACTTGTTATTTTTAACTCTTCCAAAAAGAAACTACTCTGTATTAATCGTCTGAGAGAACCCTTTCTGCCTTCCATTTGATGCTAACCCCCAGGAGAGTAATTCTTCGCGCCTTTTAGGGTTAAAGCTTTACGCTGTTATAAAGTGGAAAGGTTATATTTAATCAATCGTTTGCTACTAATAAGGCTCGTTCCTTGTGTCATGCTAAACAGTTTTTCTCGACAGAATTTATCATACATGTTTATAAGTCTATCATTCGTCCACGATTGAATATTGATCGGTTTCTCCTGCTGTATATTTAGCGATCCTTGATAAAATCCAAAAAAATATCCGCTATGATATAGGTCCTAACCTTGCATTTCGGATTCAGTCACTTTCCCACCACTGTTATGCCTCTCCTCTGTGAATTTTCTATAAATATTTCCATTGTAATTGTTCTTAGGAACTAGCATTTACGGTACCTAAACTTTATGAACTTGTGGCAAAGTCTCATCTTTTTACAGTGAAAATAACCGTAAGTTCTATGCTATTTTTTCCCTCACACTTCTAGCTTGGAAAAGTATCTTTTCTCCTTTTGCTTTCCTGTGAAATTTCATCTTCCTAAATTTAAATGCAATGTCAATCATTATCTTCTCTCTACTTAATTTCTGTTTTTTTTTTTTTTATTGTTCTCGATCCTTGATAATGTTTCTTTTTCCATTTTCTAATATTCTTTCGCATTCAGTAACCACCTGCGTCTTAGTGCCTTTATTACATTGCTTGGGAGAAATAATTTCTAAAATATCGATGAGAAAATGACAACATAAATATGTTGAAATTTCACATAACTTTAAATAAAAGGTTAGGAAGGAAAGCCCAATCAAAACTTTAAAGAATGATAACACCTACTGAGCTGGATAAACCTATTTATCTGAAAGACTATTTTAAAAGATTTTATAAATTTCAACCGAAGTCAGTACTGGCTTCCCGGTCAATGAATATCAAATATTTCCTTTGTGGGTTCAATTCCTGGGTAGGGTAGTGCATACGGGGATTCGAGCGAGAAATAATTGAGCTGAACTAAAAATAGGAACTAAACTAGATTTCCCTAGTCATAGGCAGTGGGACGTAAAAGGGGTTACCCGTAGATTTATGTTTCACGAAGCTGTTTAGAATATAATATCTACGAGGGTCATTAAATAAATAAGGTGAATTTTTCGGTATAAGGACTTCTAATACAGATAGAAGCTTTTTTTTTTGTTTTTTTCTTTTTCACATGGATTTAATTTCTTTTGCAGATTAAAAAAAAAACTTTGAGAGTTTTTTTATGATTAACAAAGATGGCCGACCAAGAAGCATGCTCCAGGATTGAACAGCGGTCAGTTATCAAGTTTTTGGTTGCTGAAGGTGCAAACCAGTTGAAATTCATAGGAGAATGTCAACTGTGTATGGTGCCACATGTTTCAGCCAAAAAAGTCTACAAGTGGGCTAAATTGTTTAGAGAAGGACGGAGCAGTATTGAGGATGAAGACAGGCCTGTAAGGCCTACAGAAGTGAGATCTCCTGAGGTGATTGAATCAGTCAATGACCTCATTCAGTCTGAGAGAAGAACTACTGTGAACTGCTGAGGCAGGTCAAGAAAGACATAAAGAACAAACGCAGGGGTCATCAGTCACAAGGAGTCATCTTGCATCATGACGACACAGCATCCGAAACGGTGCAGACCATCAATTAACTGGGCTGGGAACTGCTCCCTCATTCCCCTTACATCCCAGACCTTGCCCATTCAGACTTTCACCTGTTTGGTCCCTTGAAAGCGTTCACGAGAGGCACGAAGTTTAAAAGTGACGATGAAGTCAAAAGTGTTGTGAGCGACTGGCTGAGACATCAGTCCAAAGATTTTTACGCTGAGGAAATACGGAAGCTTGTGAACAGATGGGAAAAGTGTGTGACAGTGTTGGGAGACTACGTTGAAAAATAAGAAAAAAGTAAGCTTCTATCTGTATTAGAAGTCCTTATACCAAAAAAATTCACCTTATTTATTGAATGACCCTCGTATTATAATTTCAAAACCCAATCTATTTTTCTTTCAGGTTTCAAACAGCTTACAGAAGACACCCAGAATTTATGAATTGTGTCTTGAAGAGGGCCGGGGTAATATGGTACTTATTGACGATCGAACACGTGACACTCCGATATAGATCAGTAAAAATAAACTTTGAGCACAGGAGTTTTTCCCTCTGATGAAAACAAAAGATATCCAAAAATTAACGGATTTCCCTCTTTAATTAATGTAATATAAACAGCGACAAAAGAAAACTATTCGAAACATTCTTTTAAAGAGCATTATTTATCAGATTAAAAAGACATTTTCACACTTATTTCCGCTGTTCGTGGCAAAAGATAACTTCTTTTTTTTTAATGTTCGCGAAATATTATTTTATTAGTGGAGTAAAAAGTTTCTCCAAGTTTGAAAATTCATATTGCCAGTATCAAGTTAACACCAAATTATCGTGCAGGGGTTGTTCAAGAACATTCTAACAGAGAGTTTCGCTTCAAAACTCAATGTCGTTAAATTAAGTTAGAATGAATTCGACTTGCCAGTTACGCGAAAGAAAAACGCTTTTTCAATTACTTGAAATATGTAATTAAAAATATGCAAGTGCCAATGAGAAGGGTTTCTAAATGCTTGTAGTTATTTAAGTAGATGCATGCTTACTTACACCGACAGTTTTTGATAAATATACATATGTGTGTATAAGTATATAATCATATTGTTTAAAATTTGCTATATTATAGACAAATAATAATGTCCTCTATGAACAATAAAGGGATTTTGATATAAACAGAGAATTGACAGAAAAACTAGATTTTGAGTGACAGTTTCATGAGTTAAGGAATCCACAATAAATATTTATATCTTTCTTTCCTTCTCTCTTTCTCCTCCTCCCCTCTCTCTCTCTCTCTCTCTCTCTATCTCTCTCTCTCTCTTTTGCCACAACATTTTTACACCCTGAAGATGACAATTTGAAATTGTCGAAAGTACTCGGCCCAGGATCATTAATTCTATCTGACAAAAAGTCAAATGTAAGGATCGTATTATTCAAAGAATTGATAGTAAGTTAATGTCTCATTAAATTTGTTAGCAAAGTAATTTAGTCATTAATCACAATAACATTGCTAATTAATTTTTGTATAATTACAACTTTATGATATATATATATATATATATATATATATGTATGAGATAAATCGATAGATACGAACAGTGATGCATACATACTGTTGACCATGTTTGTCGTAGTCTCTGATTATGGAATCCAGTTAAGTCCGTAACATGTTCAATATCAGATGTCGGCAGTGAAGATTCAGAGAAAGTGGCGGTTGTTAAGTAATTCTTTAAGTCTTCGATATCAGGTTGGCAGTGAAGATAATTTGGGAGAAAAAACAAAATGGCTGCCTTTATACACGTCGCATTGAATATTTTGAGCTTTCTGATTGGTTAACCCTTCTATTGGTGAACTATATAATGAGTCAGTTCATTTTGACTAGCTCACTAGTGCCCCATAATTTCGGCCATATGCCACATTTAAGCTACGCTTGGAAAATCTCCACACACACACACACACACACACACACACACACACACACACATATATATATATATATATATATATATATATATATATATATATATATATATATATATATATGTATGTATAAAGAAATATAGTGTTAAGTTGTGCTATATTTATGGGATAAAGTGCTCAATATCAAATATAGAGCGTTTGTAAATTATATATATATATATATATATATATATAATGGGAAAGATTTTTAATGCCGCATCATCTAGATATTATACGTAAAACAAGAATCATTTTATTAATCATTAATATTTATCCGACTTTCCTATTATTTATTTACACGACTTTTGATTAATAAAGTGTTCCTGGTTTAGGAACAATGTATTCACACACACACACACATATATATATATATATATATATATATATATATATATATATATATATATATATATAGATAGATAGATAGATAGATAGATAGATAGATAGAAACGAACAGCAAACAGATACAGAGGAACATAGATCGATAGATAGTTACGAACAGAATTACACAGATAGAAATACAGGCAGCCCGATTAGATAGATAGATAGATAGATAGATAGATAGATAGAATGAATAGATATGAGGTACATAGATCGATTAGAACAGATATAGATAGATGAGAAATCGGACAACCAGATTAGATAGATAATAATAGATAGATAGATATACATTGATAGATACAGACAAACCAGATTAGATAGATAGATAGATAGATAGATAGATAGATAGATAGATAGATAGATACGATTAGAGATATAGAGAGATGAGTCGACAGAGAGATAATAACAGAGATAGATAGATAGATAGATAGATAGATAGATAGATAGATAGATAGATAGATAAGAGCAGAAATAGATAAGACAGAGATAGATACGAAAAGGAGTAATTAAATTGATAGGAATAGAATGATAGAGAAGTTATTTCATGAAACCAATATTTTGTTACTCCACTTTGTGTGGGTTCTGTATATATATATATATATATATATATATATATATATATATATATATATATATATATATATTTGATAAAACTATAGATAGATAGAAAAATAGATTATACTTCGACATGAAAACAGAAATAGATACTGAGGTTGAAACATAGATCGTTAGATAGATACGAATGTCTATATACATAGATAGAAATACAGGACAACCAGATTAGATAGATAGATAGATAGATAGATTTAGATAGATAAAACATCTATAGATAGATATACATTGATATTGTTTAAATACAGGACAACCAGATTAGATTGTATTAAAAAATATGGATCAATATTGATTTAACGATATTGTTATAAACTTATCAGACGTTAGAAAAATTTATATAAAATAAATAAACAAATAGATGATATTTATAATGATATGATAGATAGATAGATATATTATAGTTAATCCCTAGGCTAAATATATATATATAATATGTTCGAAAAAAATTTATTTTCGCTACACAGGCTGCAGTCACTGATTTGTTTCACACACCACTTCCGGCAACACGCGGTTATTTACAGTCACACATAGCAATATTATACGTAATCTCAGCATCAGGCAACCTTACTCCAATGACAAGAATCAATCAAGATAATTGAAGATTGCCTGTGCCGCATCCGATTTGACTGGTCTCATGCTAAGGCATATGCGTGGCTGTTCATCCCGAATCATATTACGTTGAGATGAATTTAGTAAATGTTTACAATCACTGTCGGCACAAATTGATTGCAAATTTGCGCTAAGTATTGAAATGGAGCAAAATATCAGAAACAGAGCGTGTGTAGATATAAACAATGATGATATAGAAATCAAGAATGCTTAGGAAAGTCTATTTCATTTTTACTACTATGAGCCTAAAACCAAAACTATTTTTTTAAATTTTTAAAGTCCACTTTTTGTAGTAAAATAAAATCTGTATATATATATATATATATATATATATATATATATTATATATAAATATATATATATAAATAAATTTTACTAAATTTGAATGAAAACTTTAACATTTTAAATAATATTTAAATTTAAAACACCATAAAAAAAAAAAACAATTCCGTAAATACTTGTCGAAAAAATAATTTTACAATTATTTTCCTTCTGTTATGAAAACAATAAACAAAAAATATTTTAAAATTTTAAAAATCCTTTGAATTGCATTATACATCAAACTGTTGAAACCCATCCTAAAAGAATCCAAAAAATAACACCTAAAAAAATCAAATTAATGGCATCTCTACAAATAAATTATTAAATGTCTATAATCGGTAAATCAAAATTAAGCCATTTCTGGTTTATATAAAAAAAAAAAAAAAATGTAACCTCCATACTTAAACTTAATGTTAAAATAATCTCCATAATATAATGATTCAATACTTTAACTGTTCTTAAAAAGAATATAGGTCAAATCGTAGTTAAATAAAAGACGTCAATTTTAAATGATGACGTTGAAATTTTTTTTACCTTCTTTTTTAAAAAAAAAAAAAAAAAATTCAGACGTCTTATATGCACGTGTTACATCCCTATCGTTGTTAGAAAACATCTATGTAAACATTGACAGAAAATCTATCATCAATTTGTATTCTTAACCCGTATATTTTAGTTTAAAACCCGGTATGTTGTAATTTCGAAGATGATCTTTGATAATGGCAAAAAAATTTAGGAGTTTTTAGCCTATTTTTGAAACATGGTTAGAACTTGTATTAAAAAATATGGAAATCAATTAATTTATAATTTAATGCTTTCTTCGTTTAACGATATTGTTATTAAAATATCTATCAGACGTTACGAAAATATATATATAAAATAAATAAACAACATATATGTATATATATATTTAATGAAACGTGTATGAATATAGAAAGGATGCTGCCTAAATAGACACAAATATATATATATATATATATAACAGGGTATATATATATATATATATATATATATATATATATGGACAGAGTCCTATTTATAGATAGTTTAGATAGATAAATAGTGTGTAGATATAGATACGAGATAGATAGATAGATAACTAGCTACTTAGGTAGATTTTGAACAGTTAAATAGCTAAATAAATTAACAGATTAGCAACAGAGCTATCTAGCTGATGGCAAATTCGAGAACAATAGATAATGAACAGTTTGATAGGTTGAACATCTTCAAATAGATAGATAGATAGATAGATAGATAGATAGATAGATAGATAGATAATAGATAGATAATGAACAGCTTCAGATAGATAGATAGATAGATAGATAGATAGATAGATAGATAGATAGATAACGCAGCTTCAGGGGGGATACATAGATAAATAATGAACAGCTAGAAATAGGTTGATCAATATATATGTATATAGATAATGAACAGATTTAGATAGATAACAGCTTGTGACAGATAATGAACAGATTAGCATACGTAAACAGATAGGTAGATAGATGCATGATGGCAAATTCGAGAACAATAGATACATAATGAACAGTTTGATAGGGATAGATAGATAGAACATCTTCAAATAGATAGATAGATAGATATGAATAGATAGATAGATAGATAGATAGATAGATAATTAATAATGAATAGATAGATAGATAGATAGATAGATAGATAGATAGATAGATAGATAGATAGATAATTAACAGATGAATAGATAGATAGAAATTAATGAGCTTCAGATAGATAGATAAATAGATAGATAGATAGATAATGATACAACTTCAGATAGATAGATAGATAGATAGATAGATATAATAGATAGATAGATAATGAACAGACTGAAGATAGATAGATAGATAGATAATGAACAGCTTCAGATAGATAGATAGATAGATAGATAGATAGATAATGAACAGACTAGATAGATAATTAATAAAAGAACAGCTTCAGATAGATAGATAGATAGATAATGAACAGCTTCAGATAGATAGATAATGAACAGACTGAAGAGATAGATAGATAGATAGATAATGAACAGCTTCAGATAGATAGATAGATAGATAGATAGATAATTAACAGCATCAGATAGATAGATAGATAGATAGATAGATAGATAGATAGATAGATAATTAACAGCATCAGATAGATAGATAGATAGATAGATAGATAGATAGATAGATAGATAATGAACAGCTTCAGATAGATAGATAGATAGATAGATAGATAGATAGATAGATAGATAGATAGATAGATAGATAGATAATTAACAGCTTCAGATAGATAAATGCATAGATCGGCAATGAACAGCTTGATATAAATAGAAAATGGATAGACGAGAAATAAATAGGAAATGAATGGAAGAAAAACAGCTTCTAAGAACTAAATATGTAAAATCAATTTCAATAGACATTTGATTTAAATACTTCGGTGTAATCGATTCCTCAAACGCAACATTACTTGCTTATGGCATCTCGTTACTTCTATATCAAATGTACAAATAAGCTCCAAATCTTTAGTCCCGCTAGTTCAAACCTTGACACATCATGCTTCTTCCATAGAATCAAGTTACCCTAATCTCATCCGTATTCTGAATGTACTAGAATGTATTCCTAGATGCCTTTTCATCCAAGAACTCCTACAAGCTTTTCTAGGGATATTTTCCTGAATATGACAATCTTAATCAACCCAAGACAAGAGTGAGTCGTTATCTAGCCTCTTTATCTTTATAACCTTCACTTCATACCACACAACACGCCTCATTCATCATAACCATTTTAACAGTAATCCTCTGCCTCGAGTGACTCTCGAGTCTTGTTTTGGGAGATCGTTAATAGACACTTTTTCTTTCTTTACACTATATCGTTCGGACTGTTGTCATCATATTTCTTGCCATATTCAAGACGTTTCAGCCGTTCTACTTTATTGTAAATATTTACAAAGTTAGGCCTGTAGTTCTCTTCTTTATCCCGTCATGCGTATGGCGATAAACGACATTCGCGTCCTGGGTAAGACGATAAACTCCATCCGACAGCAAGGCCTTAGATCAGGAGGTTTTGAGGAGCATGGAACCACATCTTAATTGCTGGTGTCCCCACATTCACTCTGACTCGGAGTAGTAGCACTATGGGCAAATAGTGAACCTCCTACCCCAACAAAAGATGTGTAAAAACTATGAAAGAATAAAAATAGGTAAAAACGATGAAAAATTATTACAAGCAGTACATTTTTGAGAAAAAATTAACAGTAATACTGTGGGGAAAATTGTGAAAATGGCTTACCTCGGAAACGCGTGCGAATCTGTGCAGTGTGCAAACTCCGGTCCTCCCAACGGTAAAAGGAATCAAAATGGCGGCGCCCATATTTTATGCCGGGCGGTCTCGGTTAGTTAACGCGAAATCTTCGTTATTCGCATGCAAATCGTGGTCGGATCAGAGAGCTTTCGGCTCGTGAGAAGGTTGGACGTTCGACACCGGTTTCTTTGTTCCTACCTGCTATCATCAGTTGAGTTGTTGCGTTACCTCCCACAAATACATTTTTAGAAAAAAATATTACCAGCAATAAAAATCTTGTCGGCATTGAAGTTAGTATGCTGTACCCTTTTATTTATTGTCATATTCGCGGGGTTTTGACCGCTGTACGTTCCGGCCGTATTCAAGTGAGATACGTAGGAATTTCGAAACGAACTCTTTATTTAGTCCATAGGAGTAGAGTGTTCTATGTGCCATGTTTTTTTTTATTATTCTTATTTTTTTTTATAGGGGGAGATATCTCAGTATCAGTTATCTCCCTTTAGTAACACAACATTCCAAGTTTTTGTTTTTGCTGAAGTCATACCTTTGGGTTGCGTCACATTTTATATAAACCAAACCTTTTCTTTATTGTCATATTCACGGGCTTTTGGCCGTTGCACGTTCCGGTCATATTCAGGTGAGATATGTAAGAATTTTGAAACGAACTCCTTATTTAGTCCATGGGAGTAGAGTGTTCTCAGTGCCATGTTTTTTTTTTTTTGTTTTTTTTTTTTGTAGTGGGGGTATATCAGTATCAGTTATCACCCTTTAGTAACACGACATTCCAAGTTTTTGTTTTTGTTGAACTGATACCTTTGGGTTAGGTCACATTTTGGATTACTCAACGTGTTTACTCAGTGGGCTATGTGTCTCCAAATGATTCAATACCTGGCCACAGCAGAGGAAACAAAAACATTGAGATTTGAATTACTGCTACTGAGATATCCAAAAAAACACAAAACATGAAACCCTGGAATTATAAAAATCTACCCCCGGGTACTAAAAATGGTTTCGGTTTGAAATCCCAAGGTATATCACCTGCATACAGCCGGAAAGTCGGTCTGGAATATAACAATAAAGAAGAGGAATACACTGCAAATGTTGTAAATAGGGTAAATAGTTATAATACTTTTTTTTCTAAGATTATTTCTCTAAATAAAGCAGTCTGGGGAAAATGAAAAATATGAATTATGTTCATATGATTTCAGCAGGCTTTACTTCCAATAATATAAAATACGCAAAACTGGAAATTTTCTCTTTTTCCTACAATTTGAAAAGCAGAGTAAATATTTAAAATTGTTAATGAAAGCTTTTTTTAAAAAAGTTATTTCAGAGTTAAGAAATAAAATTTTTCTATTGGATTTTTAAACCTACTTTCTTTCAAAGTCCGATTTATTCACATATATTTTGTTATTCATGAAAAATAACTAAAACACTTTTTAAAAACTTCGTCAAAAACTAAAAAAAAAAAAAAGAATTTAAACTTTAAGTTTTTTTTTTTTTTTTTCTTTACTTATTATTTGAATCTCTTTTTTTTCTATCCAGCTTCCTTCTGTCTTTTCTGCCATTCACGATTGAGTTCTCTTTTATTAAACCTCTCTCCTTTTGCGGCACAATGTTCTCTGTCCATCTTTACAAATTTTTCAAGTACGTTACTCACGGCATTCCTTTTCTTTTTAGATTTTCTCAGATCTCAGATCTTTAAATTCTTAAATCATATTTCCGCATTATCTAAACCAAAGTTGTTTTTTTTTCTCTTCGAGGCATTAGCAGACACTTCTTAATTTATTTTCTTGTGAGAACATTCACATTAGGTATGTCCTCTCTCAAATATATTCTCAACCTTCATAGATAGAAGGCCATATTTGGTTAAAATCATCTGGCTTTAAATACTACATTCATGGTTACGCTTCCGGACCGAAGAAGACTGTCTTGCAATTCATCAGTTTTATCCCGGCGAATTAAAAAATTGTTCTAATTTTGGATAATCCCCGCCGCCAAATTATAGTAACCTAAGGAGAGTTTACTGAATAGAATAATCACACGAAGGTTGGTATTGAACGATAATACTTAGGACAAGAACAGCATATATAAGATTCGCCAGAGGGGCGTAGAAGAAGTAGCCAACTGCAAGAAGTGAGTCATCTGGATTCCACAATGAATCTCCAAGTGCAGAGCAACATACAGTATTTACTACTGTATTTATGTGTATGGCGACATACCCATTAACACCCGTAGGTATGTTACAACAAAAATAGAATGCTTCTACATGTGAAAATGTGTGTGTCACATATTTACTTTTTTATGAATGCGTATAATTTTCTAGTAGCATTATGCTAGCAGTCAGTGAACGTTAGTTGCATTAATACTACTGCTAAAATCTGTGTTGACAATAAATCGCTTCGTATGTTTTCTCAAAGAATTTCAGCTTGTACAACAATGAACGACCATAGTAAATGATTAACTGAAAACTAATTTCTCCGAACTATAACGTTCGCTTTTATAACTGAGAAATCGGCTCCGCAAAACTAAAAGTCAGACTTTATTAAATTTATAGTTTATTCGTTAGAAAATATTTTCCCAATTTTTACACATATATATTTTAAGTAGGGAAAATATCTTCTGGCGTGTGTCTTCATAATTTTGTAGCAGACGACAATTATTAAGTATCTGAAAATCCAAAGGCCGACAGCGCGTTTGTCATGACGTCACCGAAAGGTTAATAAATGCGAATACAGAAATTGAAATCTGGGGCCCACAAAGTACGTAAAAATCAGCTGACTTCTGTGTGAGCCGGTTTTGTGCAAAACATGCATTTTAAAGTACTTAAATCATTTTACATTTTACATTTTTCTGCAATTCTTTAAGAATTTTACATTTTACATTTTTCTGCAATTCTTTAACAGAGTTCTAAACACGGTCTTCATGGCCGTTCGATCCGTAGATCTCAATCACCCACACCGCCGGGAATCAGTCTTCCACACGAACTAGTGCTGACAGATATGAAATGATCGAGTGTCTAAACCTGTCGGTTATCTTCATCGAGTTTGCAGCTAGTCAGAGCGGTTTACCGGCGTATCGCCGCTTTTGCATGCAGACAGGTAGTCTAAGCCACAGGTGAAAGTTGGGCGCCGGCTAGGAAACAGCGCAAACGAACAACTCATCAAGGAGTCCAATTTTTTTCTCTGTCGGTTGAAATATCAGGGGTAACGGAGAAATATAACAGATCTCAGTTATGCATAGAAAATTATTTCTGGCACCTCGACATGGTGTCAATGATTACAAAGATTGTCTGGCTCGATCAATTGCGACTAGAAAGTGAGTTCTATACTCATTAGGTGCTCCAAACTTTCGGACTTGGACTACATCTAAGCTACGCTTCTAAAGAAAGGTACCTCGATGTGGTGTAATGGTTAGCAAGCTTGTCTCGCTAAAACAGTTACGACTGAGTCGTGATTACGATCCTCACTGGGTGTTCCATACGTTCGATCTTTCTTAGAAATTCATTATATTTACTGTCCTGTTCACATCTTATGTTTGCTTTTTGATTCCCAATGCTGACGATTTCTCGCTATTTTCGCTGAAATCTAGCATGTCGGTCTATAACGTCACAAATTCTGGTTATTCGTTTGTTAATTGCTGGTATTCGAAAACGTCTTTTTTTCTTCTTCTTAGTTGTTGTGGTAGGATCCGCCTAATTTGCATAGTGGAGTACCGACCATATAAATATGGTTGGTACCGGGAAGAGAGAGAGGAATCAAGAGATTCAATCCAGAGTCTCTGCCCGACTGCGACTAAGTCAACACATTCTCCAGGAACGGTCTTCCCAAGAATATACAAAAGACTATATGTAAATATTGTGTATACTTTCTTGTTTCAATACATTTTGTTCTAAGTACATTTTGTGTTGCATTATTATTCCATGCATTAGTCAAGTTTCAACATTAGTGTAAGTTTCAATATATACACGCGCTGGTGACCTCTCGAGGTAGATGGTTACGTTAGGAGGCAATTTGTTTTAATAGTAGAAGAAAATAACGGATAGCCCTAGCCTTGAACAGGTTAAGATTATAGTGATTGGGAGAAACATCATTTTGGGAGTTGGTTCCACAGAGGAGTGGTTCGCGGGAGTAAGCTGGAATACAGGGAGGAGGAACGTGGCTGGCTTGCTACTATGTAAGTGGCATGGTGGGAATTTGCCGATGAGAAGCCAGAGGCTCGCAACATCCCGCTTGTGCAAGAGAGTTTGGAGTGTAGAGAAAAATTCGTCACCGACAACGGCTCGAGGACGCTTTTGTGTTCTATCAAGGCTGTAGTGTGAGGTCTGGGTAGTTCCAAATATGACAACAGTACTCCATACTTGGCCTGATCTTTAAAGGTAGATGATAGCAGGAGATACCAGTTACTCACACTTGCGGTAAAAGGAACCAAGTATTGCACAATATTAAACGATTTCCTTTTCATTGCATTTGCTTTCATTCCATTATGTTAAATTCAACATATTCACAATCATTGGCAAAAAATAAAGATTTTTTTTTGCTTGCTTAGGTCAATGATACGCAGGTAGTTTAAGGATTAATGGGTCAATTAAATCGTCCAGCTTAAATTAAATTCCAGATGACACTAGTGCGTACACTTATCACGAATCCATTTACTCTCTATCTCTCTCGCTATGAATTAAATAACATGGTAGACTGGGATCTCTCGCTTTTGGTGGCAGGCAGTCTAGGAGAATGAAAAGCCTGAATTACAAACAATGGAGAAAGCAATGTCAAGCAACTCCGTTATTTTTTCTGGAGATTCCCAGATCATAAAGAAAAGGAATCTATGGAGAAGACAACTGGAAACCACTCCATTATATTTCCCAAGAAATCATGGCAATTCAGAGATATTAAAGAATAAGAATCTATGGGCAGGGACAACAAGAACAACTCCTATCTTTCCCAAGTAACCATGGCAATAAACAGATATTAAAGAAAAGGTAATCTGTGCAAGACACAACGGGAAAACATTGCACTATCTCGTCCAAGAAATCATATCAATTCAGAGATAATAAAGAAACGGAATCTGTGGATAAAGCCATGGAAAAATTCTACTATCCTTCCCACCAAATAATGGCAATTCACAGATAATAGAGAACAGGAATATGTGGAGAAGGCAAGGGGTACCACTCCAATGTCTTTCATAAGAAGTCATGGAAATTCACAGATAATAAATGTTATGGTAATTTACCCACCTATGCATGAACTCTTCCAGCTATAAATAGGAGCAGGTACTGCCTTTTTCCAGTAGTCAGCTCTGACAGTCGGACCGAACATTCTTGCTGTAACACTTTCGTTTGTATATGTTTGTATTACTGTTTCTTTTAATATATTTGTTTAACTCAGTTCCTCTCTTTGTGTCTTTATTTCTGGCCTCTAACAAGACGACAACAAATCGGTGGTGAAGCCAACGGAAAAAATCCTCTAACCTTCCCAATAAATAATGGAAATTCCCAGATAATAGAGGACAGTAATGAGCGTAGAAGGCAAAGGGGTACCACTCCAATGTCTTCTCCAAGAAATCATAGAAATTCACAGATAATAAAAAAAAAAGAATTTATGGAGAAGGCAAAGAGATAACTCTGCACTATCATTTCCAATAAATCTTGGCAATTCTCAGATAATAAAGAAAATGGAACCCATCGAGAAAGCAACGGGAAAGAACTCCACTATCTTTCCTAAGAAACTGTGGAAATTCACAGATAATAAAAAAAAATTGTGAGGAGAAACATTGTCCGTCCCTCTTCAAGATGGCATTCAAAAAGTGAAATACACGGTTCTTATGCCGTCGAAATCTTTGCTATGGATACGGGTCATATTTTAACACTTAATTAATCTTTGCCTTATGTTTGTACACGTCTTACAAAAGACTAATGAGCAGCATATTGTTTTATTTTTTTTTTTTTTTAGTCAGTTCGAAATTATAGTTGTGATAATCCTCAAACAAGGATAAGAATTGCTTGAAAACTATTGGTCTTGCCATCATGTGCGAAATCCTCTACGTCAATTTCGAGTTTGTTAAACTTCAGAAAGAGTTTCAATGCGTACTGTTTCCAACGGAAATATCTTCGTTGGCTTCATCAGTTATCGACGACGCAGCAGTTTTGGTCGATTTCTATACGCAGTATATAATCTTTATCTTATCCGCCGCAATGTTTCCTCCTTTCTACGTTTTCATCTTCATTACTAAACAGATGATAAAAGAACAACTGAAAAATTACAAATCGGTTTATACCCTTACTACTTACATAACAGAGGGCCATGCACACACACACACACACACGCACACACACATTAAAAATAATGTGGATTAAAACTGCTACATCCCTATGAATAATAATGCTAGTTTATTGAATCAGTCAGCTATGTGCTATGCGTAGTACACGGTTAGGCAATCATGTATCTTTTGATACATGACTGACGAGGCATTTTTTTTCCCACAATAGGTTGCCATTTCTTGCTGCGGTAGACCACTTGCCATCCAAGCTTATATATATATATATATATATATATATATATATATATATATATATATATATATATATATAAAGAAAGAACAGCAAGATATATAATCCGGTGTTCTTATAGATATTTTATGTTTACAAGACTGTGTAGCGAAAAAACATATTTAAAATCATATATATATATATATATATATATATATATATATATATATATATATATATATACAGACAACGAATGTCGATTATGTTTGATCATGAGCCGTTCTGAACTTCGAAAATAAAGACAAAAACTATCCAACATTTGGATATTTTTTATTATGCTCTACCCTGATCTAAGCTTTCGGCTCACATGAGTCAGCTTCAAATCTTGTCTCTTATATATAACAATATATGATTGAATAATGACCTGCTGTCCCAATACAATATATATATATATATATATATATATATATATATATATATATATATATATATATATAACATTAATGGTTATGTCTCAATCCTCATAAATACGTTGGGCAGTCTGGTAAGTGTGGGTAATATGCTAAGTAATCCACTACTAGCAGTGGTTTACCTACTTCATGCCGCTGGCGAGTATTGTATTTTGTTGATATTATAAAGATTGCCATTTCATTTCCAAGCACCGTTTTGGTTATTCCTCATTCAGTAACCTTTTCTACGTTACAATAATATATATAACGTGTCTAACAGCGAATATCTATAAAACCACTAAACAAAATGAGTTCCTTCTTTCCAGATTTTCAGATACGACGTTTAGCCATCTTGACACCATTTTTTGTAAGAATCACTGAAAAACCTTGTGAATTATTCAGTTAAAAAGAGAGTACTTTAAAATTGTTTTGTGTCCTAATAAAGTAAATCATCGATTCTAGAAGAAACCTCAACAGAAAGCACTGGACGGCCATTTCGTCCGATATTTGGGACTACATCAGCAGTGCGCACCCACTACCGAGAATTGAACCCGGGCCGTTACAATACAACGCAAGCATCATACTAGCCGAACAGGTAACGAATTAGACTTGATATAGCGCCGCTTTTCAGAAAATTCCGTCGTGTAACTCATCCGATTTCCCCATACCCATAGGACTGTGGCCCATGAGCCAGGACTACTAACCCCAGACCATTAGAAGCCGATTCAAGCGAGGATATACAAGTGATAGAAATTATTAGGGGGATTAGAGATAATTATAATTAAGTATTTCATCACCGAGACCCGTTGGTACAGTTAGTCTGATGGTTGCGTCGTATCGTAAATGTTGAGGTTTCTTCTAGATTCGATGAATTACGTAATTATATATATCTGTGGCCACGCGGTCTCACGTTGACTGCTGACCTGAGATGGAACAAATACATTGAGTCAATTGCTTCGTCCAGCGCAAGGAAAGTTGGCTCCATGTGCCACGCCAGGAAATTTTTCTCCCCGGAATCTATCCTCCAGATCTACAATTCGCCCTTGCATGGAGTATTGCTGCCATATATGGTCTGGAGCCCCTTCTGTTTGCCTCGGGGTTCTTGATGGGCTCGAGAGGCGGATATGCAATATAATTGGCCCTGTTCTGGCATGTCGTCTACAGTCACTCTCTCAAAGACGCGCCGTCGCATCTCTCAGTCTTTTTTTACAAATACTGGTAATTGCTC